TACAACTGACATATCACATAGTTGCACAATTAACCTCCCGAACTTCGAGGGCCAGTATTTCACAGGTTAGCTACATTAACTCCTTGCGATCTTGCTACGGTACGAAAAGTGCAAAAACGCATAATCGCACCGGCCCGCCTGGTTTTGATTGGCCTGTCATCGCCGACAACTTTTTGAAATAGCGGGCCTCTGCTTCGGTCCTGTGACGAATTTGTGAGAGCATAGGAATGACGCATTGCCAGGTGGGTTGCTGCTTTTTGATTAGCCACTAGAGGTGGAAAAGATGGGGGGAGGGGGGTGTCAGGAAGTTGCTTTTGGTAATCCGTAGGGGAGGGGATTGGGTTGGATTTTGTTTCCGGGGAATTCGAGGTTTCGGTTGTTGCGGGGGGATTCAAGATCGGATGTGCTGGATTTTAGGAACTTGTGTTTGGCTCCGCGGAATTTCCAGTCCCCTCCACTTGAGGATTTGTTGTTTCGTCGAGCTGCATGAGGTCATTTTGCGGGAAAATCTGTCAGGAGGGGGTGCATTTTCCTCACCGTGTTGGTGCCAGCTGTATAAAGGGGCAGCAACATGCCTTGGAAAAGCTTGGATCAGCTCTCTGTTCTTGGACTAATTCTCGAGAACTATACAGCTGGCAACCTTTCCAGTTTCTTTGTTGGCCACTGGCTGCTCTTCCCCTGTTGGTCAGTGATCCTGACGTTCGTTTCGCCACCACAGAAAGGGGCCATCATCTTAGCAATTTTTCCGAAATAAAGAGAGAGAGAGAAAGAGAAGCATTTGGCTAGGCTTTAGCTGTTTCGAGATGGGCAATGACCAAGAAACTTGGCTTCTTGCAAAATGCACTCGCTTTTGAACTTGCTGAGATCGATGAGAGCGGCCGTAATCTTAGCTAAAGCCTAGCCAACTTTGAAAGGTGAATATCTTTGTGTGATTCCCGAGTTAATAGTTTACCCGCCAAAATCTTCAAGAGGCCGTAAGTGATACGCAAGAGCGCGAGAACGCAGAATTTGAATAGGCAAGCTTGAGCGTGCGCAACTGGTCCACGCTTTGCTCAAGAGAAGACTGGGAGCTTTTCGGCTGATGAGGGATGATTTTGTGACTGATTGAGAGAAGTTTCTTTTCCTTTATGCCTCTCCCCCATCCCCATGTCGAAGCTGATGAAGAACGAAGCCGATTTTCGAGCCTTAACATTACATTCTCACGAAACCGGAACACTGACATATATATGCGTGCTGAGTTATCACGATGCGAAGAAATTAACGGAGAGAACACGTGCGCCGGTTTCTCTTTAATCCTGGAACGATTGTGAAGCACGTGGCGTGGTTTAGTAGGTTTTTTTTTTGCTGACGCATGTGCGTCAGTAGTTGCAGCCTGGCTTTGTTACCAGTAGCATAATTATGTTTTTTTTTTTTTAAATTAGGTGAATCTCTGTTTTTTCTTTTTTCCTTTTATGGATTTATGATGCTAAGCAAGAAATTTGGTGCTGAACGGCAGCCGGCCGGTTTTTTTTTTTTTTTTGCTGACGCATGATAATTGTTCATGCTTCACTTGTTGCTAAGTTTTTTTTTTTAAATTAGGTGAATCTCAGTTTCTTCCTTTTATGGGTTTATGATGCTAAGCAAGAAATTTGTTGTTGAACAGCAGCTGGCCAGTTTTTTTTTGCTGGCGCATAATAACTGTTCGTGCTTCAGTGGTTGCAGTCTAGCTCTGTTGCCAGCATCCTAGCTGTATTTTTTTAATGAAATTGAATGAATTTCAGTTTCTTTTTCGTTTTTGGGTGTGTGATGCTAAGCAAGAAATTTGATGCTGAGCAAGAGCTGACAAAAACAAGCTTAAGTGGCTAAACTAAGCATCAGATTTTTGCCGAGCCTATTAAATACTGTTATCCAATGTTGTATTTGATGATTCTGTCTTTCGATATGCTGCTATCGTTCGGATTGTATTGTTCCTTGGTAGTTTTTATGCGTTTTTGGCATCTATGCAATGTAAAAATGCATTTTTTTTGAGGGGAGGGGGGAGGGGCAGGGGGAAAAGCGGTTATTACGTATGAGCATGACGAAACAACGTAAAAAGGCGGCGTGATTCAACGTTGGTTTTGGGTAAAACTTGAATTTTTAGCTATAGGTGTTGTAATTTCAGGATGATGTATTGCCTTCAGTGGCTTATTCCAGTTTTACTGATCCCCAAACATTGGCTTCATCCAACGTTCATCATTGATCAAGCAATATTCATGTGGTTCTATGTTGCCGGGTTTTTCATGGAAAGAAGGTACGATATTTTTTTTTCTTTCTCAGAGACACTCTTTTTATATAATGGCTGCTTACGAAGTGGCTGTTTCGCTTACCAGGCAAGCTACGAAGCTGAAACTTTGCACGTTATCAGCATTTTTTGCTAAAAATTGCATTTTATCATTTTCACATGCCAAAAAACTGGAT